TGTTCGGGCTGGAGTTGGAACCTCCGCTTAATGATATTAACGGGAATCACCCACGAGCCGTCCCAGCGCAGCGCAGGGGAAAGATTTTACTCTATCCCTTTGTTCTAAGCAGCGGGGACGTCCCGGGGCTTGAAATTCGCAGGGTAGGAGGGGGTAGTGACGCTGGGTGTAACTAAAAAGGTGCCATTGTCTGGTGAGGTCCGGTTGGGGAGTTAAATACTGTTCTTTTTAGCAGCATCATATGACCACTTTAAATTTTTGTAGGTGTGCCGACTTTTTTCTATTTTCATTCTTAAATGAACAGACTCATAAGAGTCGTTCTTTGGAAAATCGGACTGCACTGGTGATTCACTAAATATGGTAATCTCTGTTTTCTTTTCTTTTCTTTTTCTAAACATCAAAAACTGCATACAGGGTGAATTGCCCTAAAGTGGGACACCGCCTAATGTGGGACACCTAATGTCTAGTGTTTGTAGCTCCCCCATACATGAATGCCAGTGAAACTATGGGCTAGCCAAAACTGTGGTGTCAAGTGATGAATATCATAACCTCTCAAATGTCCAGTCATATATGAGGGTGGAGCAATCATCAAACGGGAAGCACCTTGTGTGAAGACCACATTCTTCATGCACTTTCATGAATTCTGATTCAAGATTGAATCTAGCCTAAAGTTTGTTCAAGCTGTGAGTTGATGTTTGTTTGTTTTTTTTGCAAGATTTTATATTTTGCCTTCAAATAGGTCTAGGCTATGCCTGTTGTGGTTGTATGTGTTTGTTGTTAAGTAAAATGAACTAGAGAACAGTCAGGAATTTTTTTATATGCCTATGATAATATAGTTGCTTTATGTCTTTATAATAAATGAATCAAAACTATCATATTGTATTATTTGTCTGATGATGTTCAGTTATCCACATTTTAACCACCAAAAGGATTGCTAACAGACCTTATTCCACATGAATCAAGGTGATTTTGGCCTTTTATCATATACCTTTCTACAATAAAGCTGCAGATGTTCTCAGACGACTTGCACAATGTCTATAATTTCTTTTGTGTTATCTGCATTTTCTCTTTTGATTTGATTAGGACATATCCTGGGGGTTTTAAAATGGTATTGGGTATGGATTTAATGTTTTGGCTACACATCGCAACGTCACAGAAGTCTGAAATGCAAAAAATGTCCCACATTAGGGCAATTCACCCCACATGCTTAATTTATGAGTAAAATAATAATAATTAAAACTCCCATAGTAGCACCTGCGAACTCATTTCATCATTCAAACTCAGTCTAGACTTTAACCCTATGTGGCAATAAAGATACTGATCCAGGGGCATAGATCACGCGGGGGATGTTTCCCCCCCCCACTTTTAATATCATGTAAATTCGTGAATCTTTCAAAACTGGCATGTCTTGTTTGGAATCAGAAAAATACAGATATACAAAAAAATATATTTTATTTGCATTCAAATCACCTCAGGATTTTTTTTTTGTAATAATTTCAAAAATTTAAATTCAAAGCAAAGCAACATGTAATTGTCTTTGATGTGATGTGATAATTAAGCAGGAATTCCTGCTCAACTGGACTGGACTTGTTTGAAAGTGAACATATTTTTATTGGGAATGTGCATGCTTTGAAAAGTCAATGTAATTAACTAACAAGGTCACAATTATTAAACAATTGTCCACAAAAGACAAAACAATAGTGCATTGAAAACATAGTTGAATTTATGACCCAGGCAATGCAAAGTATTTCAGAATCAGAAAGAGCTTTATTGCCAAGTATATGTTTGCACATACAAGGAATTTGTTATAGTGTCACAAGCTTCCAGTACACGGAGACAACAACAACAACACACAGATAATAAAAATAAGATGTGAATAAAATACACATGCATAAATATAAACCACAAAAAAAGAATAAATTGTATGTACAGGTGTGCTATAGATAGAATAGGAATAGAATAAAATAAAATAAAGTTGTAGGGATGTAGGATTTAGGGTGATAAATAAGTATAAGTTTATTGCACATACTTTAATTGCACAATTTCATTATTTATAAGCTCACATATGCATATTCTTTGCATTAAAAAAACTTCAGTGTGGCCTATCTACCTGTGCCTTGGAAGTGACACCCTCCTGATCAATTTCTATCCCAGTTCAGTGAGTTTCTTGAGTTCTGCACGGTGTCGCTTCAAACACATTAACCTCCTGCTGCACCCTGTTCTATTGCTCAATCTGGAGTCATGAACTGACCTCCAAATACCTGTGCATTTCTCATCAGGATCAGGCTGTGCTCTGAGGCATCATTTCATACCTTTAGTATGAATTGCTGCCCCTTCTACTTACAGTCTATTGAGCTGTGTATCTTGACACCCTTGTGTCCTTTTCTACCTTTATTAATAGGTTTATATAGCTCTGTTTTTTCTAACAACACCTTATCTTGCAAAAGATCCAGTAAAACTTAAAAAATAAAGTTTACATAAGATATTTTTGATTTGACCGTACATATTAACAGTATCCAGAATGACAAATATTAGGCCTAACGCCTATAAGCAGATATATGAATATAGTCATATGGAAATATATGCATCAAAGTTAAATGGATAAATAAAATTAGAAATAAAAAGAAAATTTCTAACTATTTTAGTACATTTACACTGAGAAAAACAACCAGTACGATTTACTTAATTTTTATATTTTAAGTCTTTTCAAGTAAATTCAACAGTTGTAAAAACTAAGAAAATGTCTTTCTGCTTATTTCAGTCTGTTATTCAAAGTTGTAAGTAAATTTTAATTTAACATAAAAGTAATTTAAGTAAATCTAACTTGGTTATTTAACATGAAATTAATAAGTTATGCATACATATATTTTTTTAAATTTTCATATAACAGTAAAATGTATGAGTAAATGTAACTTGAGCAATGACAATCTCTTTAAAAGCTGTGAATAAAATAAATTAATACATCAAACTCAGATCATTTAAGAGTGGTTAAAAAGTCTACCCTTGTTAATATTTTTATATAAAAAAATAATCCAAGAAAAATGGTCAGATATTGTTCCACCTTTAATGTGATATTGAAACCAACGGAATTAATTATAAACAAACAGAATGTTAGAAAATAATAACAACAACAACAATAATAATAATAATAATATGAAATTAGTTAACGTAAAAATGCTTTTTATTATAAAACATTAGAATTACAATTATTTAATTTTTATTATAAAACATTAGAATTACAATTATTATTACAATTTAAAAAGTTGTTATTATTATTATTAGACTTTTTTCCAGAGCTCACTGATGTCTTCACAG